CAAAACGAATGGATGGTCGCAAATTCCGACTTCGACGACATTGTCCAATTTGTATACTAAAACAAGGTCATTTGGTGGCAATCGGTGTACTCAAATCGATTAAATCTAGCCAATCGCTAGCAATCGTTAACAGCCTGCTGCTCTCAGACTAATCCTCGCAGCTACAGCTTTCAATGAACAATCTGTAATTCTTGTCGTCTTAGGTTATAGTTCAACAGTATTAGTAACATTATAAGAGGATTACACTGATTGTACTATACCTTAAAGCCATTGGCCAATTACTGAATATAGATTTCAAAATCGAATGTGTGAATTCGTTTGTCGTCAGAGCCAATAATGCCTTCTCTTTGCACAATTCCAATTTTCTATCAGATAAGATATTATCTGTGATTCCGGAAAGCATAGAAATGATTAACTATTTATGACGTTTATAATTATTCAGAGATTTCGCCAAAATAAAATACTTACTTTACTTAGGGGTCTGATTAAAAATTGGAAGGGTGAAAATCGATACACGTTTAGCCCCCATACAATCTTGCATCAACATTGTCTATCTTATTGCCTGATTGTACAAAGAAAACCTATAAACGTGTTTTCATTATTCTCATAATCATTGTCAACACATATACAGTAATTGAAAATGAATGATGTTAAATGATGGTTTATTGAAAAACTCTATATATGGAATATGGAGCACTGTTATTATCATATTATCATGCCTATTACATATCATATAAATATTGTTTTCGTCAATTTGAAGCTACATATGACATAACGACTTCCGTTGTAAAAAGTATAATACGTTTATACAGTAGTATTAATTTTGACCCACTTTTCTATTTTTGTAAAACATATTATCCTATTTCCCAGGTTTGACTTGTAAGGTAATTATTGTTTTCGAAAATGTTTTTCTTTTACGAAAATTGTAATGGAAACAAGATCTCTTTTAAAGAAAAGTTCAGTGCCACTGGCTTCATTTCCTTTCACAATACATGTCTGTAGATATTTGTTATTTTCAGGAGCCAGATTGAGATGTATTCAATGCGATTCATTAACAAATCCTCTTTGTGGTGATCCTGGTTATGAAGTACCGTCACCATGTGAAAGATCAGACAATTATTGCGTGTCGCTCAGGGTTTTATCAGAGGATGGTGGTAGGTATTGTGTTTTTATTTAAAACGTCATTACAAAATCTATACAATACCACTAACGCCCACTGTATGTAATGGGTAACTTACAAAAACATTATGATACCATATCCCGGAAATTTAAAGGAATAACCCGGAATGTCCTCAGAAATCGATAACCAAGGCAAAAAGAAAGAAAAAAATAAATGATCTCATATAACAAGTAATTCCATTTGACACGTTTGAGCAATTATTAGCACAACCACCGTGAGGAATACAGGGAGATGATACTAGGATCAAATAGCACCCCATTTCATGGCGAACTTTCATTTCGTCAATCAAATATGACTAGAGGAAAAAAGGAAATCGCATCAAATACATCATCAATTCAACACCACTACCTCAGCTTTTTGTTTGCTGAGCTTTATAAGTTTATTCTCTTTGTGATGTTTTGAATCACGGTGGATAAGACACTGTCATCCCGACAATGATAGAGTTGTTACCTCCAAACCTTTTAACCCAAACCCCAATATTGATGCATTCTATGGTTTAGTCGATTTGAGGCTAATCGAGGTCCGTACAATATGTGCATGTTAAAAACCCTAGAAGTTTGTATTCAAAAACGATTTCAATCCGTCCTGGCAAAATATCCCAACAGTACACACTGCCTGGTGATGCACATCTCCATCAGTCTGTTTGCGGATAGAAAAGTTACTACTCAACAACAAATTGCCCCTTAACTACATGAAATCTTTTTGAATTGCAGGTGAGGCTATTATCAAAGGTTGTAGTCCAGTTAACAATAACAAATGTATTGTGAGAAGGATAGGTGAAATTAATTTGACGTTGTGTCATAAATCGTGTGAAATAGATGGCTGTAATACGAGTATTTTAAAATAGGGAGTGTAGAATGAGTGACGGACTATATCCTTGATACCTCTGATATTTATAAACACATTTATATAAACATATCTATAATGGATAAACAATAGATATTGTTCATAGATGCGTTTTTACAGACAGACATCTGAGACATATTACCTCAACATCATTCTTCTTCATTTTCCTTGTGATCATCATTCAACATAACCCTATAATAGTTATAGGCCTACATTTAACAGCATCTAGCATATTTATTAACAACTATAATCAAATAAATATTCTTTTAAATGTGTGTGAAAGATGTTTCTATTTTTTACATTTTATAGAAATCAACATCGATATCAAGCCTTGATGTAGCAACCCTTATTCTGTCACTCAGCTTAATTTGCCGAGGATTCAGTTCTCGACCAATGAGTTTCAACAAATTTTTGTGTAAAAATGATGCACTTTCCATACCTTAGGGTGGCTGTCGGTCAATTTGCCATTCCATCAGACTTAAGTCAAAAGAAACATATTTTTGATGATTATATTTAATGATACGTCTAGATATTTTAATGGCTTGAACAACATTTCTTAGATTACATATTTTGCTTCACAAAAAATCAAGACCACTGCACTTATTTATGGATAACTATCTGAAGTCATCTATTTTTTTCTAACATAGAAGAGGCATATTTAGAAAATACCATCAGGGCTATAAACTTATTAAAGTAGGTGAGAGATTGAGCGGATGTTCTCGAGTCGACCTTGTGACAGGCAGGATCTTAGAGCAACTAGGGAATTTTATAACTATATAGCCGAATATTGACAAAGCGCAGTTGCCATCAATTGCTTTCAGTTGATCGTGTTCGATTTCATCTTTATCTGATTTCGATAATCGACTAGTACTAGTAGGTCAGAAGCAGGACATACGCCCATCTTCTCTCTCGCCCTACAAATTCATTGAATTGTATTATTCCAACAAAAAATGTACGAAGCCAACATTCAAATTGTTAACAGCTGCAAGATAATCTTTGGCGTAAAATAGCGTGTGCCCATATGAAGAACCAGTGAGAAAACGGGCCCGTATTTATACTATACCTTGTCTGATTGTACTGCAAACGGGGTGAAACTGCATAAGAACACAATAAGCATACTCACAACGAATAGAGCCTACTACATGGTACAAACTTGTTTAGAACTTATTGTTTTGTATTTATATAATAATAATAATAATAATAAAAATAATATTTATTGTTTTAAGACCATTACACATACGTCTCAACAGTCTGTACAGAACAAATAACAGATATAAAAACAATACAAATAGAATATAAAAAGTACACATAAAAATAAACCTTAAAACTTAGAAATATCACATGCAATTAAAAAATATATAAAAAATATAGAATAGATATTAAAAATATATATAACGGATGTATAATATACAGTATGTATGTAAAAAAGGTGCTAACATTGACCATAATAATCTTTAAAAATAAAAGTTTTTAGGTTTGACTTAAAATGAGGAAAATCTGAAACAGATCTCAAGGCTAATGGCAGACTGTTCCATAATTTTGGCGCAGCTAAACTTATGGCATGATCGCCGTACTGGTTAGATGTTTTCTTCCCATGGTTCTTATAAGAGAAAGGTTTTAATCTTATTTCAGTACTATTCCTAGTACAATATGCTGGCATATGGATAGAGATAATGTCAGCGAGGTAGGAAGGCACAGTCTTACTATTATGAATAACTTTAAAAATTATGCCTAAAAGTTTAAAACGAACTCGTTGTTCGACCGGGAGCCAATGAAGCTCTTTGAGTATAGGCGACATGTCAGTGTGACGTTCAAGATTCCGTCTGGTAACAAGCCTTGCAGCCGAGTTTTGAATGTGTTGCATTTTGTTAATTAAGTAATCCGGAAGACCATAAAATAAACTATTACAATAATCGAGTTTTGAAGTAATGAAACCATGAACTAATTTCTCAGTGCTGGCCTGATCTAAAAGGTGGCGGATTTTAGAGATACGCCACAGTGAATAGGACGCCTTGCAACACACACCCTTGATTTGTTCATCCATGAGTCCCGTTGAATCCAGTATCACCGACGGAGAAACATATTCCTCACCAACACGCACATCACCTACTGATATCTTTAGACTTATGTCCCTGGTTCGCGATAAGAACTGAATTATTTCAGTTTTACTGTCATTTAAAGCTAATAGGTTAGCTCGCATCCAGAGTCTAATTTCGTCTATATACAGCTCTCTATACGAATGATTGTGGTAGTGTCTGTCCGAGAATCACTGGCGATATACAGTTGTGAGTCATCCGCATAAATGACAGCATTGAGTCCATGACGAGTGATTATATCCTCGACAGATGTCATGTACAAAGCAAACAGAACCGGTCCTAAGACCGAACCCTGAGGAACTTCGAATTCAAGAACATGTTCCTCTGATTCTATTGGGCACACTGACACTTTTTGGGTCCGACCTCGAAGGAAGGAATTAATTGAAGGATATGAAGATAGACTTAGTTTATAACACGACAATTCCGTTGTCTGTCGTCTGCTATCTTTCTGAGTTGATAAGTCACGTGATAGGCGAGTATAGTCAGTTGTCATCTTGAACTCTATCCAAGCAGTGGGATTCGCCTTTAATTTCACTTATTTCACTACTTCGGCAATTGGGTGGAGAATCTCTGAGCTCTGAAAGTATTTTTGGAGGTTGTAGATTTTGTAAGCAGTAACTTTGGTGTTTAATCGCTTCTACTAACGTTCTGGCTCGAGTTGGCCCGTTCTACCAACTTTATTATAGAACTTCTCATTTTTTCAAGATGGCGGCTCCAGCACGATAGAATTTTAGGACTTGCAGTATTGGTCTTTTTATTGTTCAGTATGAGTTCCAAAACGAAACACAGATCCTCTACGATATTGGACATCAGAAAAAATACGCTTTGAACTTTCTAAGCTAGGAATTTTAGTTCCGAATTCATTTTCAAGGGCTGAAATGAAGCAGTTGTTAGAAGCAAACTTGGATTTAGAGGAGATGTCTACAGGCTCCAGTTCTGTAGCAGTGTCTATACCTTTATCAGTTCCAACGACAACTTTGACTGATTTATCCAATTTTTCTGCTCCAGCATCAGCGACTACTCACTTGGCAATTTCATCTGTTCCAGCAACAGATTTGACAATCTTACCAACAGTACAATCGGCAGTGATTTCAACTTCCATAATACAGACAGAGCCTATACCAGTTACAGCTTTGACCTTTGCCACTACATCCATTCAACCAACTATAGCCTGCCAGCGTCCCAAAGATACTACTACTACTAGATACGTGTACTCCAGTGTCCGACCGTCTGTAGTTTATCAAACTGTACCTAATGATGTTAGACATTCGAATTCGGGGATTCAAACGTCAACTTCAGTTCATAACTTATCTTTGTTTTCTGATAATTTGTATAGTAGTCCATTGTTATCACAGAATGTTGACTCAAATTCTTTAGTGTCTTATCACAGCAGTTGGCCTTAGGCATATTCCTGCACAAGAACAACATAGTTCTCTACTTAACTCTATGGCAGTTACGAATCATTCACTGTCTTCAGCGCCACTGCAATCTAATGTTGTGTTTTCACAACCTAACATAGTAGATCTTCTTTGATCTCTTGCTTTGATACAGGCTTACGCCTTCAAGCAAGTAATTTGAATAACTCTTTTAGAAATCCTGAAATATTGCATTCTCATGTACCGTTGCAACAACATTTGCCTATAACAACTACTGCCTTTTTACAGGCTTCAGATGTGCCCTCTGCTACATTGCCTTTCACTTATGCTCAAACCAATTTTTTAAATGCTGCTACATTGCCTATTACTCATGCACAGACTAATTTTTCTACTAGTATATTCCAGCCAGTAAACTATCAGTATAACCCGAATCAGAGTCAAGTCAATTTAATGCATGGGTCAAGCAGCTATCCAGGTCAAATTCCTGTTAGTCATGTTGATACAGGTCAAGGTTATCAAGGTTTAGCTCATGTTTTACAGTCTGTACAGTCTTCTGGTATGCCTCTAGAAATCAACCCACAATTACAGGGTATGAATTTTTCAGATTCAGTAGATCATAGCAAGTTGCCTCGAGCATTTGCACAAGATTTGGCTTATGTTGATATGGTCAGCCCTGAGTTGCGCAGGAAAGTCTTAAAAGGAGAACATGTATGTCTTAATAAGTTACTTCTCCCCCATTCTGATTTCTCAGAATTCCTTAGGGGGGATAACAGACTTACCAGGAGTCTCTAGGTGAATTTATTATAGCATTTAATAGATTTAAGCAAATACTTAGCCACAAAACTGCATTTCCCTGGCGCCTGGAGGAAATGGATTTATATTTGAATCATGTCATTGAAACAGCTGGTCTTTGGCCAGATCGTTTCTATGAATATCATAATCTTTTTTCAGCCAAATGTGCCAATGCTTTGTCTCGTATAATGTTTTAATAAATTGGTCAAAGGGAGACTCTGAATTGTTGCGCAAGGTAGTTGCTGGCTCTCGAGTCAATTGTTGTAATTACTGTCAATCCACTGCACATTCCTCTGCTATGTGTCCTTCTGTGGATCCCTCAGTTTTGACGAAAGTTCATAACAACAGTAATTCTTCGAAGTTTGTGGATAAATACAATAGACCAATTAAATATCATGATGGTAAGCCCGTTTGCAATAATTTTAATTCTAAGGGCTGCTCCTTATCTATGTGCCCTAGAGCCCATTGCTGCACTAATTGTTTTAGCTCTTCCCATAATGCTTCTAATTGTTCACAAACTGCTAGCATTCAGTCTCAGGGTGCCACTCGCAAGAGAAAGATTGGCGGTAGCTATGACGGTTCTAATAAAAAAGAGTGACTAGACCTGTCATTAGTTAACAGAGTTTTAGATCCTGTTACTGGTTATTATTGTGATTTTACTGCTTCTACTCCTATTGATGTTGATCATTTGGAGTTCGAGCTCATTAAACATCCGGATCGTGAATTTGTTTCAAATCTCTGTGATGGACTTCGTTTTGGATTTGACACTCTTGTTACAGACTCAGAAGCTCAGATTCATTTTGAATATAAAAATTTAAAATCTGCTCGTGACTTTCCTGCCATTGTTGATGAACTAATTCTAGTCAAAGTTGACAGGGGTTATGTTAAAGGACCTTACACTGTGTTGCCTTTTTCCCAGATTAGAGTAAGTCCTTTGGGTCTTGCTACTGGCAAATATTCTGGCAAAAAACGCTTGATTTTAGACTTGTCCTCACCTCATACAGAGAATTCTGTTGACAGTATTAACAATCTTATTGATAAAGATCTTTGTTCTCTGCGCTATGTACGCTTGGATGATGCTATAGCTAAGATTATAGAATTTGGGCCTGACACTATACTATGTAAGACAGATATTACAGATGCCTTCAAGCAGATACCTGTCAAACCATCTCAGTGGCATTATTTTTGTTTTAAGTGGAAAAATTGTTATTATTTCTTTGTTAGATTGCCTTTTGGTAGTCGATCTAGTCCTAAGATTTTTGATACTCTTTCCCAAGCCATATGTTGGATTGCCTCTAATAATTACGATATTCACACTATTTTTCATTTATTAGATGATTTCCTAACAATCGATAAGCCCAATGTTGTGGGTGAAAGAACTATGGCATTGCTAACAACTATTTTTTCCAGATTGAAGGTTCCAATTTCATTAAAGAAAACAGAAGGCCCAACCACTGAATTACAATACTTGGGTGTATTCTACATACCCATCGTATGCAGTGCAGATTACCATCTGATAAGCTTGACCGCATTATTCAGTTCATTGAACTATTTTTAGATAGAAAATGTTGTACCAAGAGAGAACTACTACAGCTATTAGGACATTTCAATTTTGCAACAAGAGTTATTATTTCAGGTCGTGCTTTTACTTCACATTTGATTTCATTAAGCACTACAGTGACAGAACTCCATCATTATGTCAGATTAAATGCAGGATGTAGAGAAGATCTACGTATGTGGTATTCTTTTTTAAAGGACTGGAATGGAGTTTCGTTATTCTATGAGAAAATTTTAACTTTGTCTGCTGATTTAGAATTGTTTACAGATGCATCTGGTATTGGCTTTGGTTGTTATTTTCGTGGCTTTTGGTTTGCAGAGAAGTGGCCCTCAAATCTTCCTACTGTTGCTAATAAAACTATTTCAATTGCTTTCAGAGAATTGTATCCAGTTGTGGCTGCATGCGTGCTTTGGGGAAAGCACTGGTCCAGTTTGAGAGTTTTATTTAGGTCTGACAATCAAGCAGTTGTGAATATCATTAAAAAGGGTCGATTACGTGAAGTTCGCCTTTCAGCATTAATGCGCACTCTTACTTTATGCAGCGCGCAGAATAATTTTGCTGTTTACTGTGAATATATTCCTGGTTTAAATAATACTATAGCAGACCATTTATCTCGTTTTCAGTTAGAGAAATTTCACCAAGCTGCACTCAATGCATGTCTTACACCAGAAACTTGTCCTACTATAGATCAAATCATTTGGAATTTCTAAATGATAAAGTTAACAGTTTATGCTATTGCTGAAAGCACTCATAGAGTTTATGCTACAGGATTTAGACTGTACAAACGATTTCTGACTTTGTATAATGTTCAATATATTTCATTAATGCCTCCCGTCTCTCAAGACCTTTTAATTTATTTTATAGCTTATTGCACTAGTATAGATATCAAGTGTGAAACCATCAAGGTTTATTTAAATGGGATACGTTTCTTCTTTTTAGAAGCAGGAACATGTAGTCATTTCGAGACACCGGACAGAAATCCTCGTAATTTTACTTTTCTTCAGGCTGTAAAAAAAATGCAGAACAATGTTGTCAAACCTCGTTTACCCATAACTTATGACATCCTTGTATATATTGTTGTAGCTCTCAGAGCAGGTTACTTTGATTCCTATACTGATTTGTTGTTAGAAGCTATGTTCACTGTTGCCTTTTATGGGTTTTTAAGGTGTGGTGAGCTGACTTCAATCAGTAATTATAATCCTAATAAAGATTTGTCTATTCATGATGTTTACATGTTACCTGATTTAATTCAATTAAAACTGAAAGTGTCAAAGTCTGACCCAAAGGTATTTTTATTAGTTTGTTTCCAAGTAATTCTTTCTTATGTCCTGTAAAGGCCTTGTCTGCTTACATTTTGTTACACAATACATTATTTGGGAATTTAGACCCTTTATTTTTATCTTCCGATGGATATTCGGTTACTAGATTCTTTTTTATTAAGCATTTACATACCATTTTAAACAATTTAGGTTATGACTTGAATTTATACAATGGTAATTCTTTCAGGATTGGAGCTGCTACATCTTCAGCTAAGTCTTGCATGCCAGATCATATGATTAAGTTTTTAGGACGGTGGTCCTCCAATTGTTACACAAGATATATCAGACCTGATTTAGATATGGTTAAACAAGCGGTTAAACATATTGCAGGCTGATTACTTTATTTTTATAACTGGTAGGCTGAAGGTTTTATTTTAATCTTACTTTGGGGACTACACAAATCCTATTCTTATCATATTTGTTTGTTTGGCAATTTCTTATTCATTATTTACATTCTGAATAACTTACCCCAAAGTAGTCTGGGGTTTTTCATTATTTTATCTTTTGCTTATAGATTGTTACAGTCATTAATGTTATTTCATTTGTTCTAAAGCAGATTCATCCAAGCTTCTTCCAGAACTTTGACAGTTAGTTTCAGTCGCTAACACTAACTCTTCGGGCTCAGTCACTCACGACGGCTCTACTAACTTTCTTCTCTTTGAGAACTTTGCAAACACAAGCTCTTCGAGCATTCAATCCAAGGAACTGCCAGTTCTGTGCAAGTCTGGTCTCTCTGTACCGATTTAGCCAAGTCAACACCAGTTTCCTCATTTACTGTTTATGTTCATTTTATGTATTTTGTATGTGTAGTCCCCGATCGCCAAATAAATATATTGAATTTATTTGTCTTGTTGTAAATCCAGTCATGAGCAATACCACAGATACCGAACCGGGAGCGCAGTCTAGCCATAAGGATGTCGTGATCGATCGTATCGAATGCTGCAGAGAGATCAAGCAAAACTAGTATGACGTCATGTTGTTTATCAAGAGCAAGTAAGACGTCATTCATTACTCTAAGAAGTGCTGTCTCGGTGCTGTGTCCCTCTCTGTACGCAGACTGAAATTTGCCATACAAGTTGTTAGTGGAGAAATACGGATGTAAACTTGATAGAACACACTTTTCGAGGAACTTATCCAGAAAAGAACAGTTAGAAACAGGATAATAATTTTTGATCCATCCCAAGTTTTTTTATCAGGGGTCGAACAATGGCTGATTTACAGTCGGCTGGTAAAATCCCAGACTGAAATGATGAATTTCCTATCCGCAATAAAACAGGCGCCAACTCACTGATGCAGTCCTTAACAAACTGTGTCGGCATTGGATCTAACTCACAGGATTTAGGAGGCATTTTACTTACAATAGATAAAACCTCGTCTAATGACAGTGGATCAAAGACAGAAAGCTCACATTGCGGTGGCACTAGATCTTCAGCATACGGAATACCATTCACTAATTGCGCCCGGATTTTGATGATTTTTTCACTAAAAAAGTTAGCAAAGACACTAGATAATTTGCACATTTCCACATTGTTTGGATAAATGCTAGCAGATGATTTTTTTGAACCTGAAATATCATCTACTATGTTGAAAAGTTCTTTGGTATCAGCAGCCGCAATTCTGCTGCGATGGAAAGATGCCTCTGCAGTTTCTAGTTTTCGGTTGTTATCTGACCGAGCGGTCGCAAGTATTTGTTGATGAATTGCAAGTTTTGAATTGATCCATATTTAGACCGAATAACAACGCATTAAGAACGTAATGCGGTCGAATTTAGTCTGTCTGTGAATGGAATGAAAGAGGTACTAACGAACCCGTTGTACTACCAATTGACTCCGCCACTGACCGAGTGTCCTTAAAATTTACTTTATGTGTGAATTGCAAATGGCCTACAGTTCCGCTTACGCCAAACATTCGTTCCGTTTTTTATAACCTTTTTCACTTTAGCGACTTCAGTAAGGGTCTAAAGACCGTCTTGAACATTCATCCGTTGTTGACCCGCCAGCCAATCAAATTTCTTCCCTGTCCATGGGATTTTGAGATGTTAATAAGCAATGCACCTTTTATTCTAATTTTACTAGCCAATATTGTAACGTGATTTTGGCAGTTTCATCAATAGAGCCTGGTCTCTCGGAACTACAAGACGGCTTCAAAAGATATGGGTTCAAACTGATAATTGAATGTATTATGGGCGAACCAACAGTCACCTTATAGCATTAAATGTGTCAGTTTTATCTCCCAAAGGCCCTAAACTGAATGACTATTTCAAGGTAACGATATTACTATCACTTGATTAATCACTACCCAATACCGGAAGTAAAGAGATAGCTTGCCAGGCAAGGTAATATACACCCACTGGCAGCTTTGATTTAGAATAAAAATATTTAGCAGTACAGTAACAATCGCCAGTATGAAATATTCTACCTTCAGTCATACACTTCTTTTGAACTATTTAGGGCGATACTGAATAATATTGAGTATGAGTTATTGCCCTTGTTCTGGAAAACGTGTTCAATTTTTAGCTCGTGAAAACTCTAGAAGGCAAATATTCAATCTTCAGCACGGGACTGAATAATAAAAACTAATTTAATCCAGCAAGAATCATTCCTTTTAGTGTTTAAGAGCTAAATTTGAAAGCGTTTTCAAGAACAAGGGCAATAACTCATACTAAATATTTTTCAATTCTTCTGATTTTCAATAGGGTTTATCCTTGCATGATTATGAACATTCACATCAAGTTTCATCAAAACCCGTCAAGAATTGTGCCTTGTAGAATGATTATGAGCTAAAAATTGAACGCGTTTTCAAGAGCAAGGGCAATAACTCATACTAAATATTTTTCGATTTTTCCGATTTTCAATAGGGTTTATCCTTGAGTGATAACAAACACTCACACCAAGTTTAGTCAAAATCCGTCAAGAATTGTCTCTTCTAGAGTGTTTACAAGCTAAAAATTGAACGCGTTTTCAAGAACAAGGGCAATAACCCATACTAGATATTTTCCGATTTTTCTGATTTTCAATAGGGTTCATCCTTGGGTGATTACGAACATTCATACCAAGTTTTGTCAAATCCGTCAAGAATTGTGTCTTGTAGAGTGTTTACGAGCAATTGTGGACGGACGGACGTATATGGGTGACGACAATATACGCCCCCCATTTCATGTGGGCGTATAAAAAGACACAAAAAATCCATCATTTATTACCGTGACAGATGCAACTTTACAGAAACGGTCGAGTATTGCCGAATGCTTGAATTGGGAGAGAGACAACGAATATGCTATTCCAGACACCATGAAAGGGAGATAAGTGTTAAAAAGATAAGTCTTCATATTCAACCTTTTTCGGAAATTATTTTGAAAACTTAATATTAGAAGGCATAACTCATACGTAGAGACTAAATAAAAAACATGAAATGTTAACATTAGCATATATATTTCTCAACATTACCTCCACTGACTATAATTCATTTGATCCAATGTTGTACAAGCGCAAACTATAGCAATAAAGTACAATGTCTTGAACAGCGTCAGGGATTGGGCAAAGTGAGAAAAGAAAACGGGTGTTGAAGGAACCCAGTTTCAGTTGTATCAAGCAACAAGTCTAGAAGTTGAGTGCAATAATTCCCAATGTTTTGAAAGATTCTGATTTAACTGAACTTGTCGGTAAAGCGCGGATAAAATCGGTCGGTACAAGACGGTAATGGCTGGAGACGTTGGTAAAACTGATGTTTAAATTCCCTCAAAAACTGGAATGAAAATATCAAGAAGCTAGACATAATTATGACATTGTGATCCCTATAACGTTTTAAGGTTTTCATAGATGATTTTCAGTTACCTCCCTTATACTATCATTTTATAGTCTTTATCCACTGCGTTGATCACAGCAATATGTCTTGCAAAGCGGTATTTGTCCAACTGTAAGGCATTACATTGTGTTGCAGATGGGTTTGCAAATGTTTGTTGATAATCACTATTGGACCATTAACCGTTAATTGTCGTTCAGTTATATGTGACATAAGTCGAGCCATTCTCCAAAGCGTCATTAGTATTCTAACGTACATGCAGCTGTGATGTGAAGTCAACGGTTATTTTTATTTGGGGAAAAGTCTATAATGACTCTGAAAGAATAAAATTTTCGACATTTCAGCTTATGCATTTTCATCAAATTATAGACGAATCAGAAGCAGAAATCTGCTTTTAAATAATGATGCGATACCATAAAAAGGGCTGTTTTAACTGCCAGGCACTTTTTCGAAAACACTATAATATCCCTTTCAGAACGAAGTGGTGGATGATCTTAAATGCTAAAAAAAGTGCAAAATACATTTGATCAACTTTGCTCTCAGTATCTCATCCTTTACAACGGCGGTGTAAATTAAACGATCTTGAACTTCATGAGGCATGTGATAGGTCCGATTAGATGAAACATTAAACCTCAGATAATATCTTAAAGATTCAATTCATTGGATTAAACCCGATGATTCGAGAAAACACGTTGTGAACAAAACTGCTATCAAATGTTCTGTGGTACCCCCACCTTGGTGACATAACAATATAATTTGCTTGTACTTTAGATCAGATTTCACGTGCTAGCGACATCAGTCTAAATCTTCGGTGTAAATTTGATCTTTTCGGGGTTATATGATAAAGTTGAGGACAGGTGAGAGGGGTTTATTTCAACCTAAGCCCAGTAATTATTTGTATTGTGTGAATGTGTATGGGACAGATGCTAAAGGTTGTCTTGTCTTACATATCGCTGTTTAAAATGTATTCCAGTTTTTATGCTACTGCTATAAAGCCAAATGATCGATGTTCCATGAAAGACATACACTGTCTAGGTAGTGATTGTAAACCTTTGGAAGGACGTAACTTCGTGTATATATATATATAAAAAAAATAAGACTTCTATTTTATGCAATCTGAAAATATCTGGTATCAAATATTAATTTTTAGAATAACAGTTATGCATAAATATATTTTTTTAATCATGGCGAAAAAGGTTTACTTCTGGTGTTGATGTTTGTAAAAATCTTGTCCTAATCAATATCAATACTATGCATTTGTAAAATGGGTTTAATCAAGTTCCTTTAAAAGAATATTTCAAAGATTTATTGCCATTGAAAACATCGATATATACAGTCATTTGGGATTATTTTAACAATTTTAGCACTTTTCATCCATAATAAATAGTTGACATTATATATATATATTAACTACATGTTAACTATACATCATAACAAAAAAAAAACAAAAAAAAAGAACAAAAACAAAAAAAAACACAAAAAAACCAGGTGGGACGTTTGATGAACTAAAGTGAAATTGGAGTGGAATCTCATTTCATTTCATCGCTCATACTTCCTTGTTACCAACATCAATAACAGCGAGAAATATCTATAATATCTCAAATTTAATTAAGAGCATCATCGAATAAAGCTGACTAAAAAATATTGGAAGAAGAAAAGAAGCATTCTACTCCAGTTGATCATAATCCTATATTCAGCCACTCTTCACCAACAATTGAATTTATGTGGCTATTTAGTTTTGACTCTGGCTCTGAGACATCTTCTTCTCGCTGCTTCCACCATGTCTCTTGATACAGTTCTAACATAGCGCCTTTCTGGGGACGGACTTTGCTCCCTCTTCGGTACATTGGGAGCATCAAGAATGAGACTGCGTCTACTAGAGTAGTTTGTATCGGATGGCGGAAGCGGTAACACTGGCTCCACATTCGAAGAGTTTTCATTACTTACAATGTGAATTTTTGGAACTTTTAACATATATTCATTTTCTACTTTGTCCGAAATATGTTTGATATCTTCACTTTTAACTGATACCTCGCGATTTTCTTTCCCAGTGAAATTACGCATGCTGTCCTTGGAAAGATCTATAGCCCCGTCTGTGTCACTCCTCATTTCTAGTTTAGGTTTCTTCAGCGTGAAGTTGGTTGGAGACACATTTTGAGTTAATGACCGTTTAACGCTGTGTGAATAAATATCACGAATTGAGTTGATCTGGGCAGCTTGTCCAATGTCAACCGAATTTCTGCTATGTGTTCGTGTTGAATCAGATGTACATGTCGCACACTGAAGACAATCGTCTTGGTGACGCTCCTTTTTATTTATTGACGATGCTCTACTTGGTTCTGCTGATTTAGATCTATTATTTTCAAGACGATCCCTACTCAGCATTATTGGACTTTGCACCTTTGTCTGCTTTTCTTCATCTGCTTTCTCCTTGAAGAATTTCTCTAATTTCTCGGCAGTGATGGGCAACGGTAGCGGTATAGGAACCGGCACTGGTAATACCACCGGAAATGGAACCATTACCGTCACTGGTGGTGTCCCAGACGGCATCACTGGATTAGACAACAATGGGTGTTGTGGTGGCAAAGGAAAGACTCCGGCACCAAAGGGATTTTCGCCCGGATTGAGGTGAGGGAAAGGTAGAGGGGGATAACCAACTGGCAGTAGTGGTGGCGGTGGAGCGTTATTTCTTGGAGTCGAACTCAATCCAAGGTTTTGGGAAGCTGACTGACTATCAGATGAACAAACTGACGTACTTGGTGACAATGAATTCTGGCCGTGTGGTGTCGACGGACCTCTACTTTCGGATCTATTATCAGACGAACCAGACATTGGAAATGGTTGACCAAACGGTGGCATACCATATAAAAATGGATGGTTCATCATTCCGTGACCAAAACCACTCATTAAATGTGGTGGAATCCATGGGGGTAGAAAAGGACCCGTAGGTAAACCCGGTATAGGTGTTGGTTTTGGGGAGGTTTTCGGAGGACTCTTTGATCTCTGAGCTTCTTTGGAATCATGTTGAGTCCGACTCTTCTTAAGGGGTGAGTCTGACAGATATTTTGTCTCAGCATTAGACCTTGACTGATGTGTCCTTATCTGGTGTCTGTGGTTAGTTTCTGATTTTGTTCTAGTACTACTTCTGTCCGAAAGACCACTCTTTCTTGGAATATCTTTATCATCACCAGAATCACACAAATCTTTAAATTCCTTCCTGTTATCACTCTGTTCCTGTAACCATAAATCAGGTGTAATCAAGATTTTCTTTTCCTTTGAATCACAGTTATTGTTCTCTTCCGAATCACTGCTCTTAATCTTGTTCAAATGTTCTTGAGTTTCACGACAAAATATGTTCATTTTGTACTGGCTGAGACACTTTTCACTACAGAATTGGAATTGGATTTCACCGTCAACGTATTCAACATAATTCACAGTATGGCGTACATGTTTACACCAATCACAAATTTTATTTTTCTTAAAAGATGCCCGTCGACATTGTGTAAAACAAAGTTCACTACAGAATGGTTTGGTTCCAGAAGATGTTTTTAGGGTAAACAGTTTTAATCCCGGTTTCTGGCACCATCCACAGACAATAAACTGAGGTGAAGGGGGTGAATCAGACGAACCTGAAACAAAAAATAATCAAAATTGTAAACAATAACTAATCCAGGGCCATACCGTTTCGTCGAAATCTATCTTGCGCGTAAACATGCTGATGAATTACACTTACACAATAAACTTTGTTTTACCTATTCTTGTTCTTTTCGCTATCATAGCAATAATAATTTGCACAAAGCTTCCTTATACTCAAATACCCACTATCAAACATAAACAAATTTGAAAACAACGACCCTCTAGTCTTTTTAAGTCTAAAATCCTTCAAGCTATATATAACGTTTAACTTAATAACCTTTTGTTCAAAGGGAAGATGACTGTAATGTGAATACATATGGAGATCATTTACGCATAATTTAAATGAATGTATTATTTCAAACCCTATGTTTACAGCCAGTAAAATGATGCCACAAGAACAATGGTCGGGTTGAAAATGCATCTAAAACACGTGAATCAAATTACAGCTAATGTCAATAAGAATGGTGTCGTTTTTCTTTAATCTTGTGTTGTCAAATCGGACGTTTCTTCCACGATTTCGAGTGGATTTATGTAGTGATTGACTTGGTTTTCAAAAAATACATTAATAACGTCCTATCGTTTTACATTATCGACTTATTAAGGATAGATCACACACATACGTAGGGTCACTTTAGAACGTTAAATAACAAGAATTGCTGTATTTGGATCACCGACAAGGCAAATGTATTTTAACCTATCACAGGGAATATTTTTAGTTCCAAAATACTAAAATTGGCGCTTTATATGAAACGTGTGATTGGCTCACAAAACTTTATTGATTGTCTATATTCACAATGTTCTAAAACAATGTTCTCTGAATAATCCGTCAAGGCACACAGGAACAGGGGTCAAAGGAAGGATTATATGGTTTCAGATGACCTATTCTGGAAATCATACGGTCTGAAAAAATGTATAAAAAAAACGTGAGTGGGTTTGAATTAATATTAAATTTCTTGTCTGACATGAATTTATGAAACATGACGCCAGTCTTAATTAATGGTGTTGGAAATTTGGTGTCAAGTATCATATCCAAGACCTAGTAATTATCCTCTAACATTGTCAGGAATTTAAAGTAAGAGAGTATCATATGTATCAGAATAATTTCCTGGATACTTCTCTCAAGGCGCTATTTTCGCTATCATAAATATAATATTCATATGAAATATCGTTTGCATATTATTCACGATAAGAAATACGATACAGTACGATACAATTACATTTTAATCTTAAAACCACTCGACATGGCTCCTATAAAGATTTGACTGAAAGTAATACTTTAATATAATGCGATCACCGATATCATTGTTGATATAATAAACCTCTACTTTATTATAATTCTAGGATATATCATATATCTTATTACATTTAATACATATCACTTACTATATAACTCGAAATATAAATCAAAAACATAATCTAGAAATATTTCATACCGCCTTAAGCAAAGATGATACATAATTTAATAAACCTGTGGCATTACCAGATGAGTTGGGTTTCTTCCTTAAAAAGCCATAAGCAATTTGACATCCTAAATTTTGCGATATGGTTTCATTTAAATTGGGTTGATAAGAGATTAGATTGCATTATTATATTATATACATAGAAGTTTTGCATCTTTTCGTAATAAGACACCGTATCTCACACTATGTATAAAATATGTAGATATTATATTACTAGTTTTACTTCAAGGCAAAAAGTGGTTATTCGCTTTAATTTTGAGAGCGAAAACTCCCAGAAATTGGCTATTTGAAAAAATTTAATTCGAAACCTTATAACCTTCGGAACAAATAATACATTTCTTATTAGAACAGTCCACAGGCACAGTTCACATATTATCTTGAAGTTTTTTTAGGGGACGCGCGTGCTTGATTCTAAGTTTGTCGTTCTTCCTATAATTTGTTTACAAAAAGACGTCTGTGTCGAGCAAGAAAAAGTGAAACCAAGTATTATTTTGAGTTATCTCCCTATATATAGTATAACTTGAAGTAATTATTTAGCAACGATTTATTCATTGCATGTGGATAGAAGGTAACTCCAATAAATCAAAAATATTGATAAACCGGTACATGTGTAATTCATCATGAATTCGTATAATGACCTTGACAAAAGAGCAACGTCCTGTTTTGTACAGGTATTGGATTTTGTCAAATTGTCAAATAACATGTCAGTGTAGCGGTTAAATGTTGAGCAATGTACTAACATGAGATGAAAGTTAAAAGTATAAACAAATGAATGAATGAAATATTGTTAAGCAAATCGTCCAAAATAAACAAAAATGTCATAACAATCGTATTTAATGCAAGTATCAATGTGCAGTGATTTATTTCGAACACTTAAGTTACACCAAAAGATCGTTAATTATTCCAATTTGATACAACATTCAAATGAAATGATTCATTTCCTCATGAGTTATTTCATCAACATGATATCCTACTGGTAATCTATATTGGATAGTATCATTGCGATTAAGGTTCACAATCATTCTCTTATTCTACATAACTCAAGAAATAAAAGAGAGTTTTAAGTCGGAATCTAAGAGGTTTCGTAAAGGTATTATTTTTGAAAATTTTAACTTAATGGAGTATTCCGTAAAAAAAATTCATTATCAAAAACCATGTAAATTAAACCTGAAAATATTTCTAAAGTGTGCTATGTATACCTATGTATCTTCTTGATCAAACTGAATTTATTCTAAAGGGGTTAATTAAAAACGAAGAGTACTAATTGTTAATTAGGCAGTTTGGCTTAGTTTTGGTGTTATATTATTAGTTGAAACTTTAGAACAAACGTTGGAGATATTTTTTTTACAATTAGGCGATTATTTTACTCAGTTTCATATACTAACAGCTTCCAAAAAGCATAATGAACCTGATAGATTTTGGTGAATAATCTTTACAAATTAGAGAAAAAAATTTCGACCTGCAAGAAAAAGCAGAATGTCCCTATGACCCTTGATTATGCTTTTCAAAAGCGTAAAAAAATAATGAAGCTTTCAAAAGAGTAAAAAAAAAAAGCTTTACCTCGGAAATTCTGAAAAAAAAACCTGATCAATACGAATTGTATTCGGTCTATCTAATGCCCACTTTATAATGACGATTCATTTTTTGTGATACCCGTTATTTTATGAACGTAACTGTATATACAATACATACCAGGTGATGCTGATGATGTCGCAGCCTGGCGTTTTGTTAAAGCTGATACCAGATTTCTATGCTGTGCTGCCAGGGACGTTTCACCGTGGTCACCTGGAAATATCCAAAAATATATTCATCTAGATACATGTAAACAAAATAGTGTTTACGTCATATCGATCTGCAACTTGTCAAGCCAGTATCGAACTAATTGAAATACATGTAAATAACAATTCGTCTCTATTGCAATCTCACAAGTTTTCTACAACCGTACCTTTCTAATGACGTTATATCGAAGACCCGTTTTTTACAAGGACGTATTTTTGGATAGCCCAATAATTATTCGCCGTACAGTATATCAATTAAATTGAGCCAGTTGTGAAGGTTACATGGACTTCAGAACAACCCAACAGAATAATTGGGATGAACAACATTATGTAGACGCTTGCAGAGATACGACGTGGAAACAGGTTACAGACCTGACAGAATGAAAGAAGGCTTGGAAGGGGTAAGAATGATTGCTCTATTAGATGACAGATGTTGTTACTGCTAAGCAGTATCGCGCGTGCTGGGTTCTTATTATTCTATATGAATACGAATAAATTAGCCACATGTATGGACACATACATAATTCCTTTGAGGAAAAATATTTTTGATATAATTAAAGTACAAAAAGGATAGAATTCAAAGAAATCTGATACCGAAGAAGTCTAAAATGGTATTCACAATAGGTCTATTAGCACACGATTTCATTAGCATGAATAAAGGCATAAATTTAAACTTCAACACAGAGAATATATCAAATTTCGTTTCAGTGGTTCAACTTACTCCCAGAATAGAACATTATATTAACACAACTCAAATAGCAGGCTTCTTTATCTTGGTATATAATATGATATCTTGTTCAAAACTCTTCTTCAGAGGAAGGTCTTCTTACACTTTGACACGCGTTTTCAGAAAATATATGTTATGATATATTCCAAGAAACAACAGTTTGATATTATATTGATGTTGATATTTATTTCTAAGCATCATCAAATTAAAAGTCGGACCAAGATGATTCGTATAGTGATTTTTCCTTGGGAGAACTAATACTAGGAGAAATTACATACAATTTGCTCTGATCATCGAAATATTCAGTAAATCGAGTGCCAGTTCAATAAAGATTTACCGACTACCTGTGTGGAATTGTGAGAATTGTTATACAGGGTTAGCCTAATTTCACAATGTTTTTTTTATCGTTTAGCCTTCATTATGACCTCGTTATTTTGTCAAATTTCGACAGAAAATGATTTTAAGAAAAATTTCGGTAGATGAGCAGCAACTTGCAAAAAAATAAAAATCGAGATCTGTATTTCAATCAGATGAATCAGATCCATAGTATCAAAAAATAACTTCTATTAATAATGGTCTTTAATGGTTCAGTATTGTATTTGACAATATACTCAATTAATATAATTCTAACCATAAACTGCAAACTGGTCGTTAGTACTACATTTTTGAAATTCAAGTTACCATTTTAAGACCATTATATGTGTACTGTTTACGAAATTTAAATGCCAAAAGACTATTGAAATAGTAAGTGCCCTTAGCGTATAGATATCGCGTAATATAAGGTCATTGTAAAGTAATCTACACCTATTATATACCATAATACTAAGTCAATATTCTAATCAAAGTGAAGAACACCCATGATTGATGCTCTACTGATATTTGGTAGAAATTCTATCTGGTAAAATCATAACTAGAGCAATATATCACGAGCTTTTACAAAGTACATACAAATTATGTGCTAACTTACAACATTCTGAAGAAATGCTTATCAAGATGTATCGTAATAGTTTAGTGTTTTATCTGAAGGTAATTACTGATCATCCGTGATCTGACTTAAATCATGTTCAGTCGAAATTGAACAATTGCATCAAAAGTTGTCATAACTTATACTAACCAATCAAAAAGACTGTTAAATGTAGGGAGGTAATACAGCAAGTCCTTTTTAACAATAAATATCCTAGAATTCCTCACATATAGCAAGAAATCTTTCAATGAACGGAGCATTTGATTGATTGAATATAACCAAGGACCTGGGTTGCATAACAATTTGTCAGATCATAGAGGCCAAGTGGAGTCAAACTCTAGAAAAACACGAAATGAAACGAAATTTAATCAGATTAAACCAATAGCAATTGATATTCTTTTCAGATAAACTATTTTAACTTTTTTACAAAATCTGAGAGATTATCGAGAGCATAAGTAGGATAAAGGGAATACGGAACACTATGAGCTGCAAAATAACTTCAACGAGTCGAGCTTCTGGCCAAAACCTCGTAAAGTGCATGGCAATATAACATAAAGGTTCATAAGTCTAGTGACCTTTTCTCATTATTCCAGGCTATCTAGTTAAAAGATCCATATGGATAATCTGAAAAGATAGTTGTCGCGAGGTTCGATCAAAGACCAAAGAATGAGATCTCAGAGCTCCATGTAAACTTACTTACTTGCTGTAAATATAATGTAGGCCTACTATAGTGTCGGGTATCGTTAATCATGTCACGATACGATACGTATTGCGATACAAGGGTCATGATACGATACATATCGCGATATGGGGTAATGGGATAAAAATATAAAATATAACATTTTATCTTTATAACTGTGATATTGGTAATACAGTTGATAGAAGTGGTTTTAGCGTCTTATAACGAGTTTCTAACATTTTCAATGCAAATTGTCATATCATAAAACAACTTAAAAAATTCGCACTTTTATGCTGCAATAAAAACGATCGCCAAGTATTGATTCACGACTTCGCGATACGATACGCGTATCGTGGCATGTCGAATCGCGATGCATCAATTCGCCGATATATCGTGCCAGCAGTATGATGTACTATAAGGTACATTATAAAAAAATAGTATATAAGATGAAATACTTAAATATAATTCGATTACTGGACAACAAATGATTAACCATCAATTCGTAATATTATGCTCAACACTAGATAACAGAAATCTAGCACTGCATTATGCAGCACAGCAGTACAGGAAATTGAAAATTGAACCGGAAGTTAATATGTAACTACTGCATTTGATATAACAGATCGTTTTGAGGCGTCATTTTAAAACTTCTATCGGTCATTGGACGTGTGCCATAACCCGTTACAATAGGTTTGACTTTTAGACTAGAATTATATATAATAGAAGCGATTCATTAGATAATTGCTATATAACTGTAACTTCAGTCCCTTCTTTAGGAATCATATTACGTCAATTTTCCATTAAGTAATATATCAATAAATGAGAATGGTATCAAATTTTGGCCTTCATCTACATGAATAAATAACTTTTGATTACTTTGCCTGAAATGCATCTTCTAACGGAAGAAAACCGTGCAATATGATAGTCAGATGGGTGAAAGACTGTAGTTATTGTCTGTGAATTCATGGACTTAAGTTACCATCTAAATTCAAATCATAGATGAAATAAAAATATCCCTCCGCCATTAATCGCCTCTGACAATTTTACAATGAATCATCACACAATTCAGGTAATAGGACGCCATTTTATTCTGACAAGGGAGAAAGCCATTACAAAGCTCTCGTTTTAAATTTCTTTGAAATATAAACTTCTCCAAAATATAGCATGTGTCCGTCTGATTAATAATCCCGCCATTTTCACTTCTGCAAATGGTTGGGTATACATTTCATAACATCCTGTGGAAAATGAAAAACGCAGTAATTTTCGTAATCAAAGTTTCTATTTCGAAACACATTTGCAGAATTTTGTGAAATTTATGATGATACCTAATACAAATAGTGCATGATAAAATGCCAAAATGTAATCAATCTCTTTAAACTATTTCACTCTTAATGTAAGGCATCATGTTGCTTTACAAATGGCTCTCCTATTACTTCAGTTTAGATGAGAAAATATAGATTTGGTATTCCGATAGTTTTATTGTTTAAAATGCAGCCAAAAATAGCTTTAAGTGCATATTGTCCTTATTAGTTTCCATGCCAATCTAGCAACATCTATTAACCAAAAGTAGAGATTCTGTGTAAGAGAGACGACAGGGCAAGAAGAACGTTATGGAATTTTTTGCGCTTTCAGCATCAAAAGGTTCGGTACGATCCAAATCTACCATACTAAGGAAATTTCAATGCTATCCAAATGCGCTTATATTCGTCTGTCATTATTTATCTTTCAAAAAATAGCATAATTGTGCCGTTCTGAGATACACGTGTGATTTCGTAGTATCTTTCAAAAGTTCAAAAGGTAGTGAATGAGACTACGATGGATATATTAGAATTCCGATGTACATGAAATCCTATTTTCGAACTGTCCTTTTGATACAATGTGATCTCAAATAAAGATGTATGAAAATATGTGAAAATTTGAAAATGACAATGCTCGTGGAAAATGATATATTTGACCCTATTAAAGGGTAATTTCGTTCTGTAACTGTTTATAATTTGATATGGTATAAAATGATAATTGGTATATAATACTATTACCGTATGGTTGGTGGATAGAAACCATATGTATCTCTGTTATTCTTCTTAAATATTTGAACCAATATATAAATAATTCAATAACTTGGTCGCTTTTGAATTCAAACCATGAAATCTGTCCTGTCTGACAACATCTCTTTGATCACATATAACACGAAAGTGGTTAAAAATACACAATTTCACGACAGTTGGTGCTGTGTGTTTCACTCATTTAGTTGAAATGGGAGTGGGGCTTGGGATACTTACTGCTTCGTACGCTTTCATCATCTGGTAGTGACTCATTGTCACTTAAATCACTATCACAATCACTACCATCTTTCTCTTCTTTATCTTCTTTAACATCATCATCCGGACTTTCCTTTGTTTTCTTCTTCTTATCTTTAGATTGTGATCGATATTTAGTCAAATTCAAACTTTCAGTTTCATTACTACTTACACCGTCGTAGCCATATAATCCAAGTAATTCGTTCATAGTTGTTTCTGCATAATTCTGAAAAAGTTGAAAATGTTTTAATTAAACGAGAAGGCAAACATATTTCATTTTGTGTGTCAACAATGATACAGCGTCGTTGGTTGTATAAAGTTTTCGATTTTATACCAATAACCTATTTTTACAGCCCATTTTTACATATTTACATATGATAAACATACCATTGAACCTAATTTATCAATAATGTCGATTTACATATATAATTAATATACCAGTGAAGATGATATTTATCAATAATGTCGATTTACATAAACATACAAGTGGACCTGATTTAGGTTATAATGTCGATACATTTATAATTAACATACCAGTGAACCTAATTTATCAATAATGTCGATTTACATTTATAATAAACATACTAGTGAACCTAATTTATCAATAATGTCGATGTATTTATAATTAACATACTAGTGAACATGATTTATCAATAATGTCGATTTACATTTATAATTAACATACCATTGAAGACGATTTACCACTAATTGACATTTACATTTATAATAAACATACCAGTGAATCTAATTGATCAAAAATTTCGATTTACATTTATAATAAACATACCAGTGAACCTGTTTTATCAATAATGTCGATTTACATTCATAATTAACATACCAGTGAACATGATTTACTGCTAATTGACATTTACATTTATAATAAATATACCCAGCCTGGTTTATCAATAATGTCGATTTACATTCATAATCAACATACCAGTGAACCTAATTTATCAATAATGTCGATACATTTATAATTAACATACTAGTGAACATGATTTACCACTAATTGACATTTACATTTATAATAAACATACCAGTGAACCTGATTTATCAATAATGTCGATTTACATTTATAATAAACATACCAGTGAATCTAATTGATCAAAAATTTCGATTTACATTCATAATATATATACCAGTGAATCTAATTTATCAATAATGTCGATTTACATTTATAATAAACATACCAGTGAATCTAATTGATCAAAAATTTCGATTTACACTTATAATATATATACCAGTGAACCTAATTTATCAATAATGTCGATTTACATTTATAAATAACATAGCATTGAGCCTGGTTTATCAATGATGTCGATTTCAATTATAATTAACATAGTAATTCTAATCAATCAATTTTTTTCCTAATTTACATACCTATAATAATAATTTTTAACAAAAAAATCAAGTTACCCTGTGTTTCCATTATGTACGCTTGTAGTACATATAATAGGTTAAGAATGACGATTTGCTATAATAAAATAATTGTTTTACTTTGTAGATATTGTTTTCAATCTTAGTAAATGTTTTGCAATAATTTAAATTTACACCCACCCATCCCTGACGTTATACAAGTCAACGAAGGGATGAATTAGCACAGCAATTTAACAAATTACCCGTAACATTGTTTAAATGCGTAATTCATAAGATGGTCTAACGATTATAAAGAATTTCATTTTTCACTTGAGTTTTAATTGGGTAATACGAGATATACGGATTACGTTAGATAAAATATGTGAAACACGCTGAAAAACAGTTTTTCTTCTATCGTGCTGTTTGATGGCATGGTGGTAGCGAACAGATATAAGGATATCACTTACATCAAATAAGAGAATTCAGTATTGGATGAGTATGGTATCTTTTACCTAATGCCTTTCTATCAAAAATAGCAATTTGAGTAATTTGATAGCGTCTGCAACCTAGCTGGTGTAAATATCTCTTCTCTTTCTATTTATCTACCCTTCGTACAGCATACCTATTAACTATCATATTGGTCTGCTGGCTTATTTGAAATACCTTACATAATAACAATTAGGTTATTCATCTCGAAAGATTGTAAAGCGGTAATAACATTCTTTACTACAGTGGTTCCCAATCATTTGCCATGACTGTGTTGCATTGTCCAAGAGGGCGTAAAGATGCAAATACTGGCTGGATTAATTTGACTTGCTTCAAGTCATGTTTGACAGACGATCGAAGATCAAATTCGATCGATTTGGTCTTAAGGTAAGATTACAGCCCTTTGCTCTCTGACTACACCTCAACTATGATAATAGTACAGGATTCCCAGGCCACTCAACAATGATAATAGTACAGGATTCCCAGGAAACTCAACTATGATAATAGTACAGGATTCCCAGGCAACTCAACAATGATAATAGTACAGGATTCCCAGGCAACCCAACTATGATAATAGTACAGGATTCCCAGGCAACCCAACTATGATAATAGTACAGGATTCCCAGGAAACACAACAATGATAATAGTACAGGATTCCCAGGCAACTCAACAATGATAATAGCACAGGATTCCCAGGCAACCCAACTATGATAATAGTACAGGATTCCCAGGAAACTCAACAATGATAATAGTACAGGATTCCCAGGCAACCCAACCACGATAATAGTACAGGATTCCCAGGTAACCCAACTATGATAATAGTACAGGATTCCCAGGCAACTCAGCTATGATAATAGTACAGGATTCCCAGGCAACTCAACTACGATAATAGTACAGGATTCCCAAGCAACCTAACCACGATAATAGTACAGGGTTCCCAGGCAACTCAACAATGATAATAGTACATGATTCCCAGGCAACCTAACTACGATTATAGTACAGACAGGATTCCCAGGAAACTCAACAATGATAATAGTACAGGATTCCCAGGCAACCCAACCACGATAGTAGTACAGGATTCCCAGGTAACCCAACTATGATAATAGTACAGGATTCCCAGGCAACTCAACTATGATAATAGTACAGGATTCCCAGGCAACTCAACTATGATAATAGTACAGGATTCCCAAGCAACCCAACCATGATAATAGTACAGGATTACCAGGCAACTCAACAATGATAATAGTACATGATTCCCAGGCAACCTAACTACGATTATAGTACAGACAGGATTCCCATGCAACTCAACTACGAAAATAGTACAGGATTTCCAGGCAACTCAACTACGATAATAGTACAGGATTCCCAGGCAACCCAACCACGATAATAGTACAGGATTCCAAGGTAACCCAACTATGATACTAGTACAGGATTCCCAGGCAACTCAACTACGATAATAGTACATGATTCCCAAGCAACTCAACTATGATAAAATTGCAGGATTCCAAGGCCACCTTACTACGATTATAGTACAGACAGGATTCACAGGCAACTAACAACGATAATAGTACAGGATTCAAAGGCAACCTAACTACGATTATAGTACAGACGGGATTTCCAGGCAACTCAACTACGATAATATTATAGGATTCTAAGGCAACTCAGCTATGATAATAGTACAGGATTCCAAGGCAACTCAACAATGATAACAGTACAGGATTCCCAGAAAACTCAACTACGATAATTGTACAGGATTCCCAGGCAACTCAACTATGATAATATTATAGGATTCTCAGGCAAATCGGCTATGATAACAGTACAGGATTCCCAGGCAACTCAACTATGATAATAGTACAGGATTCCCAGAAAACTCAACTTCGATAATAGTATAGGATTCCCAGGCAACCCAACTATGATAATAGTACAGGATTCCCAGGAAACTCAACTATGATAATAGTACAGGATTCCCAGGCAACCCAACTATGATAATAGTACAGGATTCCCAGGAAACTCAACTATGATAATAGTACAGGGTTCCCAGGCAACTCAACAATGATAATAGTACAGGATTCCCAGGCAACTCAATAATGATAATAGTACAGGATTCCCGGGAAACTCAACTATGATAATAGTACAGAATTTCCAGGGTTATTTAAAATGTTCGAACAGAAGAAGTATATTTAGGACTGATTGAACTTGCTGAGGTTAAAATAGTGCTGCATATTATTTAGAATAGTATTTATAATTATAACGGTATGGGAATCAGTATTGTTTATATCTCACATACTAACAGCCTCGTCTGTTTTACACATACCAAACAATATTTAAAGGGAATGTTCATCCGACAAATAGTTTCAGGACTTGTTTTCCATTATCAACAACTCAAATATAATATAATATACATTCCATACTCATATTACAGAGGGGCTGTTTTTTGGTATTTTACTCTACAAATATACTCAAAAGAGTCAAAGGGAAAGATTTAAAGAAGAAAAGACCTTGTATGGCTCGCGGCTAAGAATGCAACATCTTTTCCTATTGAAATTGCCATTCTAACAGACCTTAATTCATAGCAAAATTGAATTCTGAATTTTAGTAGCGACAATTTGCAACGGAACCGGGAGAAATGTACTCTTGATTGAAAATCGTTCAACAGGTAAGAAAATACAATTTCCATATAGGAAGCAAGTTTCTTACGTCAGAAGTTTAATCACATGTTGTGGGATGAATTCTAAAGTTATTATCAAAAAAAAAAAAAGAAATCTTGAAGAATGTTTTAGTGATTATCGGAGGAAAATTAATATTGAGTATCTTATTATAACCTGAAGGTAGATTCTAATTGAGAATATAGTATATATTACACCTGTATGGCGAAGAAAAACATGCAATATTCTTATTGACACGGACTTAAATAAGATTTTGAAATTAAACATGATAAGGAGATGAAAGTAATAGGGATATTGTTATTGCCTTTTTGACATCCAGGTATTTAAGAGATAATTAGAATAGGTGTAACATGAGAAGGTTACCTTGCCTCCTACCTTAATGATTATCACTATGCTGACTAACAAATCTAACGTCTCATTTACTAAAAGAAACATATTTCAGAAGATTGACAACAGCTAGATTTTCTTTTACCTGTCACCAAAGTAACAGGCACGTGATTTGAGCCGACTTCTGAAGGTAAACTATTAACTTGAAGGCAAGGTGTCATAGTTATATTAAGGTATTAATCAAAACCTTATAACCAACTCCTTTTGCTTCACTGCCGTTATCATCTAACACATTAACTTTCTATTCCATCTCATTTCAACCCTCACGCAGTTTCTGATTAAAATTTTCATTTTTTGTAGATAAAGTTACTTCTGTATATCACGTGAATGCTTTTCCCCGCCATTATTTAAAACTAAATTTGGACTTTGTTCAGAAAAGCATTTCAGCTTAACTACAGATTAAGGTGGATCTTTGCTGTTGCAAATCAACACCATGAAAGAAACATTGTGAAGAGAAAGGGCCCCTGCTTTGCAGACCGAAGGCAGGAAGACCTGCATAAAATATTAAACTAACAACTTTGAAGAAAAATTGGACAATTGTAATCATTGTCATCTTAAACAGAAAAGAGACGCTTTTTCTTTCAAAGCAAGTGTCAAATTAACAAATAACGAATGACGGTAATCAAACGTCTGGTGTTCATTTTCTGTATATTTGCCAAAGTCTTCATTGCGGACTCTTTAGATTGGTCTATAGCATCAAATTGTAGCCGTCAAAATGATCAAATTTGATACAAGAGTAAATATTATGTCCAATCTATTTTACATGGTTTCAGAAAACTTAGCTATGGAAACAATCAGTTGTCAAGTGTCTACCTCTATTAACTAATTTACTCCTCCTGTGTCTCTCTGTAATTCCTGACTCTGTTATTATTAATGAGAATGTCTGGTGAAATAACAGCAATTGATGCACGGGAGGGGGGGTAAAGGACATTTTTGTTTTAATGTTACTTCATCAATGAGTATCCTTAGTTATAAAAATACAGTATGATGAAGTTTGAAATATAACTAGACGAATAAAATCGTACTTACAGCTATCCCCTTTTCATCTGCCATGATCATGTCAACATCGGAAACCTATCAAAATATACAGGACATCACAAATTATATGTGAGTTGATTCGAGTTCACCAAGTTCGCTTTGAGATCATTTTATATTATTGAAGTCATGTGTCCTCACTATTATATTTAACCCAGGTAACAAAAGCCGATACTTAAGGGGGTATCACATTACAAATCACCCTTTAAGAAAACTAAACCTCGCCTACAGATGTGCCTGTGTTGGTTTAATCAGAGCTGCTATATTGATTCAAGGGTAAATTGGTAGTAATTTGATGCTGACCAACTAAGTTTAGGAGACTTGTGGCGAGAGGAATTGATGTAATCGGATCTACAATACGTTGGGTGTAGACGACTTCATAAGGAAATTACTTGAAAATTTCGTGGTCGAACGTCTGCATTGAGCCAATCTATACCACGGTTCATATTACTTACCAGATAAATACTGAATAACAAATACAATTATTATGGCAAAAAATTGAGTAACATGAAACGTTGGGGAAATGTCAAATTTGAAGAGTCTCTGTGGATAAATTCATGAAGATCATGTTCGCTCCATTTGCCGTAGTTTCACATTACAAAAATAGCTGGGCTCCTCTTACTTCATGTTCGACCTATTCACTGTAAATTAATACCCGTTTCCTTCCATCGAATGTGTATTTTAAAATACATCATGTCTGAGGCGAAGTTTTCAGTCTGTTTCATCCTTGTCTTCCAACCAATGTCTTCGTTCGTCATGAATTTTGGCCGATAATACCTTCTAATATTGATATCAGATACAACAGTGTATAATCGGGTTGAAGAACTCAGCTCGTAAAAATATGTAACACTAGAAGCAGACAGCTGCGCTTTATACTAATATTACAGGAAATAATTACCCATTTCCATAAAGTTCTCTTGTATTCCTTACCCCCTGTTACAAACCGTGACTTTCAAATACATTATGTTCTTGCCTCGTTTTTGATGCAACTCTATAGCAACGAAACGATATATCTGCTGTTACCTTTAGATTGAAATCGGGATCATTTCATTTCTATAATCTATCAAAAAGATATTAAGAGTATGAAGAGCTTTGAAGGAATCAGTTTGGATAGTCAAGATATTTTGTATTCTATCAAAAGCACAAACTTAAACACTAGTTATTGAAAATATCAATGAATATGTAAAAGGATATTGTAAAATCAGCATAATTTAAAGTGAGTTCTGCATTTTCTACATGGCAATGCCCTTGCAGATGCAAATGATTGACAATTGTAGCTAAATGATGACTAAATAAATTTGAAAGTAAATTTTTTATTGAAAATCTTTCTCTTTTTTTATCATTACGATAGCAGAAAAAGTCAATGTTTTGGTCGAGTTTCTGGATACCTGGGAACCATTAGTGTAGCGAAATCTTTTCGTGACAGAAGACTGCATAAAATTCAAGAATTCCAAGTATTTTTGCTATCTTTTGTTGCAGAAAAGCTGTAACTGGTTCAACTGATGGCGACCAAGGCGTATTGGTACAACTTGAACATTAACAGTAAGTTACACCATGAGGGGTACATATAGTTGAGTGGAAATTTGGGATGGAGACGTTGTGGGAGATAACCAGTACACGTCAATAATAAGATGTATTAGTATTACTAAATTTTGATATATTAAAGCGATTAAAGACCAGTTGAAGTCTCAACTGACGCCCCAGACATGATGCTCGAGTAAACTGGAT